TTTCAAAAGAATTTGAAAATGAAAAACGATGTTTTGAGAAGATGAAATTTTTGAAAACAAATAATGCGATTTTCAAAATTTAACAATTTATAAGTCCTTCGGTCCATCAGTAAGTCTTTCGAGCATGATGATTAAATCTTTCGGGTAATTTGTAAGCCTTCACCGAAGAGTAGTGAAGCAAACCCATCAGTAAGTGCCATCAGTAAGTCTTTCGAGCATGATGATGAAATCTTTCGGGCCATCAGTAAGTCTTTCGAGCATGATGATTAATTCATTCGGGTAATTTGTAAGCCTTCACCGAAGAGTAGTGAAGTAAATTCATCAGTAAGTCTTTCGAGCATGATGATGAAATCCTTCGGGTCATTTGTAAGTCTTTCGAGTGAGATGATAAGTCCTTCAGGCCATTTTAAGCCTTTTCGGAATAGTGTTAGAGCAAACTATCAGGTCATCAGATGTGGGAAGAAAGCGAAGGTTCTCGAGTACAAAGAAGCGTATCAATTGATTAAAAGGAAATGCGCATCAGGAGTCATTAACTAATTCAAGGTCCTAGAAAGAGAGAGGTTCAGATGGCTGTCGAGTCCAAGAAGATTTTCATATCTAGTTGTTGCGAGACAAGCTCCCGCAAGAGAAATGGATTCTCAAAGATTCTCTTAAATTCTAATTTTTTCGAGTATAATGTTTTTCAAATCTTCAAGCATACATTAATGAGTGACAACGTTTGATTTTCAGGTTTAACCCTCGAAGTTGAGCCTTCATGGAAAAATAGTGAAGCAGAATCACACTAGAAGATTGTTCGAGTTCTACTCCTTGAAGCAAGAGGGAGTGAACCCGTAGACAGAAGATTGTTCGAGTTCTACTCCTTGAAGCAAGAGAGAGTGAACCCGTAGGAAGAAGATATTTTGAGTTATATTCCTTGAAGCAAGAGTGAGCGAACCCGTAAGCAGAAGATTGTTCGAGTTCTACTCCTTGAAGCAAGAGGGAGCGAACCCACTGGTTGAAGATTGTTCAAAGAAGAGTGAGCATATCCCTCATCAAGTTTCAAAGCACGAAGATGGAACTGGACAAAAACGCACCATCTTTTGATCTTTGCTCTATTCTCGTTGCACGACAATGAACAAAGAGGGGCAGCTGTAGATGCTCGTTTTTATCCGGGGCCGAGTCGAAGCAGACTCGAAGCAATCACAACCTAACCCGTCCTTGAACCAGTTCCAGGCCCAATTCAAGCCCAATGGACGACATTTGATTACAGAGGAAAAGAGAGAGGTTAATGTCAGTTATCAGCAGTTAACAATCAGATGGTGGGGGGTCGGTTTTTGAGGATTTAACAGGGAAACTGAGAGCAAAAGAAGAGGGGGACCTCCATTTTTTTTTTTTTTTTTTGGACAGAAAATAGAAAAACAGAAAAACATTGTTGTATTGTACGATCCTCCTATTCAAAGATCAAAGGAAACAATTCTTTTCAGAGAATCAAAACAGTGCAAAGAGAAATACAACTCATACAAGCAAATACTAAAAAATTTTCAGAAGCATTGAAAAAATTTGGGGAACTTATTTCCCTGTGAAATTGTACAAACTACAAAAGAGCAGGAAAGAAAGTTTCTTCAAAAGTCTATCCATCATTTTTACAGCGGCAGTGCATAACTTCCTTAAGGAATTTTTAGCATTCAAACCAAGACAGAGCAACACAATCAACACAAAGCAACAGGTATTTAATTTAATTTATTTATTTTTACGTTTTGCATCCATTTGAGATAAGCAGAGGGTTTGATTTAGGTCTACCTGAGTAGATGTGAGTTGAACGTAGGCCACTTTAGACCTCTCCATGGTCTCCAGAATGTTTCTCACCGGGAATAGAGGGTACATTCGTTCGTGTTGCCTAGATCGAGTGATTAGCACTTGGGTTTCAGAGAGTAGGTCCTTGAGGGAATTGATCAGCCTTGAAAATAGTGGGTATAAGGAGGGATTGTAGGTTACCTGGGTTGTGAGCGCAGATGGAGTCTCGGTGACTCCATTTCATTGTCATTCGGTTTCCGTTGTCAAAGAAGAGGAATTGATGTTAGTTTTAGTAAATAGAAATTCTTGAGTCAAAACAGTAGAGAGCGAGAGAGAGTTACGTCGGTTTAGGAGTGATCCGCCGTCGTGGATGGCGGTTAAGCGGTCGCGGCCATGGTGGCTAGGGTCTTACGCTCGAGGAGAGTTGAAGAGAGGATGAAGACGAGGGTAGAGAGGTGAGAAATGGTTTTAGGGTAAGCATTTTACCCAAATGGTCGCATATATTCTGTTGCTAAAACAGCGACGTTTCGGGGTTATACGGAACGACAGTGTTTCATCGACTTGGTCACCCGGGTTTTGGGAATAGGATTATTCGCGTGTGAGGTCCATTAGTATTAATCGAGATTTTCATTTATTTTATTTTGTCTCTTTAGTTTATATGTGTTTCATTTTGATACCCAGTTTTAGTGTATTTAAGTTTGCTATTTTTTAAGACATTTAACCTTCATATTTTTGCATGTCGTATTTTAGTCATTAATCGAATGTTTCTATTTTTCTAATTTTGTATCTTTGTTTTGTGTGTATATAATTTCGGTACCAAGTTAGAGTATATAAGTTTTTCGGTTTTAAGCATTTGACTTTCGATTTGCGCATGTTGCGTTTTAGTCCTAGGGTTGTGTTGTTTTAAGTTTCTGTGCTATTGCGTATTCTGCATAGTATTTTATTAGTTCACATTTTAGTCCTTAAATGGTTGTTTTCGTATTCCTTATTTTGTCTCTATGTTTTGCCCCATTTAATCTTCGTCCTAAAGTGTTATTGTAATTAGTTTCTGTTTTTTAGACATTGGACTTTGAATGTTTTGCATGTTCTATTTTAGTCCATTTTGTGTGTTTAATCGAATTTTGCAATGATTGTGATTCTGGCTCATGAATTTAAAAAGTTTCCATTTTGACTCCATTATTTATTCAAGTTAATTTCTTGTATTTTTACGTTTGGTATGTAATTATGTTAATATTTTTATTTTCGTCCATAAATTTAAATTTTAAATACTTTAGTCATAATTTAGACTTTTTAGATTAATTCTTTAAATTTAAATTTATTTTAATATAGTCTATTCTTAGATTTGTTTTTTTTGTTTATATCTACTTTGCATGTTATGCGAATGATTTATGGTGACCCACATGCCATCATTCTTTGTATTATTTGTATGATAGCCTCACTTGCATAACTCGACATGTTCATAATCGAATTAAGGGTAATACACTTTTAATTTAAAATTGTTTTAAGTGGGCAGTCATAACTGATTTGAGGTCCGCTTCTAATGATTTTAAAATAAAAGTGTATCCCGAAAGTGAAACAAAAAAATTTTTGATTCATCACCTAAAATTTGGGAACGAGAGAAAAAGAAATGTTCGTTTATTTAAATATATCGAGAAAAGGTTGTTATATCTTTAAGATCTGGTCTCGATATTTGTAAATAATCGAACATTCTTTATCTTTCTAAAATGACTTGGTAATTTTAATTTAATTTATTTGAGTGTTTTTGAAAGTTTTAAATTTACATTTTTTTTTATGGGATCGAAAATCAAAATAAATTCGAATTTGTAAAGTTCATTGTAAAGACGTTAATTAATCGATTAGGTACCGATTTAGGGCGTTGTGGGGGTGCTAATCCTTCCCCACATGTAATCGACTCCCGAACTCATTTTCTGGTAACGCAGACCTCAATTTGTTGTTTTAATTAAAATTAATTTTTATTTAAAATGACGAAACGTTTTTGGGTGTCCAATCACACCCTAATCAAAGATTGGTGGCGACTCTTTGAACTGTATTTTTTTCAATCGTAAAGAAAATCCAAAATTTTTCGAAACGAGAGGTTTTTAAATCGCATTTGTTTTTTAAATTAAAAATCAGTTGAAAGAGGTAAATTAAAAATTAATGTGGTTTTCAGAATCTCACCTTTTCACTTTTAAGGAAAAAATCGTTTCGACAACTACCTTAGCCAAAGAATCCAAAATGAAGCTTCGTTAGCTCAACTACACTTGCTCGTTCTTTCTCTTCTTGAGCTATGGTGCTCACACCCATTTTCTCTAGCCACACAAGGAAAGCAAGGATTTTCGTAACATAAAGAAGATTTTAAAAAGTCTTAAGGACATATTTAAAGCTTATTGAAGTAGAAAAAGAAGCTTTTACCACGTACTTGAAGCTATGAAGCTTAGAGGAAAAGATTGAAGAAGAAAAGGAGGAAGAGAAAAGAATGATGAAAGTGTTCACCTTTCACCCAAAATCCATGCCCAAAGCTATAAGAATCCCAAGAAATCGACGTCTTTTTTTCAATGGTCTAATTACACCTTCGATTCATCTTATTTTGTCTTCTATGTAAAAAATTCCTTTTTAAAATCAATTAGACTCAATTCACACCTAGTCTAACGACTTTATTTGTAAACTTCACACGATCCTTGTACCTCTTGGGTCAACCCAAAATTTAAAACATTACAAATATTTTCGTAAAAAATTAAACATCTATTATTTTTTTAATATTGTACTTATTGAGTTTAATCAGACATATATTAATTTTGGACTGTTACTTGGCAATTTTGTGTATGTAGATTCATTTGTTTATTCTCATTATTTTTGTATAATTATTTATTAGTGGAGCTCTTCTTTTACACCGTGTTAAAATTGTTTTAATCCATGTGTATTATTAATTAGTTAATTTTTCATTACCTTAATTGTTTTTATTTTAAGAAATAATTTTAATGAAATTTTACGGATCATTCAAGTGGATCTAATGTGAGCTAGGTATAACAATTTGTGAACGAAATGACTTGGTATAACATGAGGAATATGAGTATAGTTAAAGATTCAATTAAAATTCTAATTCCATAGGAAGGTGATAGATTATAGGATAATTGTACTCAGATTTACAAGTTTTAAAAATAATATGAAACCCACGGCCATCTCCCACGTAAGGAGATGCTTATATTCTGCTTCAGCCGTCGCTGCCCTTAGTTTGATGAAAGCTTGTAACTAGATCGGATGACACGGAAGAAGTGGTGAAAGAGAGACTCCGAATATACAATGAAAAGGTATCGGCTTTGTTCTTTAGTCTTGCTTCATGTAAATGTTAGCTGGACATGAAAAATATCTTGAAATGTACATGCCCACTGGTATAGCTAGAACTTAGAATGATTTTCTTGTTCACATATGAAATGGGAAATTTGCAAATTCTTTTATGGTGAAACTTTTTTCACTTTTTTATTGACCGTGGAGGAGTAGATTAAGGATTTAATTATAATCGAGCCTCTGAATTAAAATTAAATAATCATCCAAGCACTTATTGTTTCATTGCAATAATTTAAGCCCTTAAACACATATTTTCACCTAATTGAGCCCTTAGTTTGATGAAAATTGGTGTAAGCCACCATCAATTTCCAGCCAGTCGATCAATAGGTTGAACATAGATTTTTGAATCCTGAAATAAACTAGAATAAATGATTGAGGTTAATCGATTGTGATAAAATGCTAGCAGCCTGGATGATTATTTAATTTAGTTTAGGAGTTGTTTTTATACATTTGTTTTGGGATAGGGTGGGAATCTAGATGCTCTAGCAGCAGCCTGGATGATTATTTAATTTAGTTTAGGAGTTGTTTTTATACATATGTTTTGGGATAGGGTGGGAATCTAGATGCTCATACGGTGTGCATCATAATGAAAATTTTCATTTCAGACTTTTAGTTTACTTTCTTCTTTCACCAATAACCATTTGTCGGTATCCAATTTCGCTCAAAGGGTCAGCCTTTGGAGGACTACTACCGCAATCAAGGAAAGTGGATGGAATTTGATTTACCAGGGGGTATCCCTGAATCATTGCCAAAGTTATTGGAGGCTCTCAACCTTTATGAGTTTGACGAAAGGCAGTCCCTTGCAGCATTAGGTGTTACTGACTACCGTAGTTTTATAGGTGAGTCTCGTATTCTTTGCATGATGGAGTAGCATGCTTATCAATTTTGCATTCACAAGAGAGAACTTGTTTTTTTTTTGCAAATAAATGCTTCAAAACTTTTGCATAGTCGAACTATTATATTATTTGTTTACAAGGAGACTCTGTTGTATTGTAATTTGAGAGAGATACAAACGGGAGGTTTTGTGAGAGATTTACATATCCAATAGCAGCTTTCAGAAATAATACTTCCTCAATGGAAAATCATTGTGTAAAACTATATTTTCTTGCTGCAAATAATAGTTGTGATGTCAGTGCAGCTTCAGTGATTATCCTTGTAATACCCCAAAAATTCAAATAATGACCAAAATATAAATTTTGAAAGTTTGATGGTCAAAGAAGAAAATTGGGAAACAGTTTAGGGAATTAAGTGAGAAATTTCCTAAAAATAAGTTTATTCCATAAATATATGGTTTACTCTTGAGAGTGGGCTTTTATAGAAATTATATTTTTGGATTTGGAATTTTAGTAAAGAAAAATTAGAAATGGTTAAAGCTCGGTAAGGAATTGGAAATTCAGATCGAATTGGAATTTTACAAAAAATTGAAGGATGTTATAAAATGGTTGAAAATATTATTTTTAATATTTTGGGATCAGAGAAATTTGGTTTGGAAATGTGCAATTTTTCAGATTTAATCGAAACAGTGGAATTTAGTGACTAAAACGCAAATTTTAAAAATTTAAGGAGAATTTCTGAATCAAAAGTCAAAATAATTTAACTTTGACTTTGAAATATGATAAGGATGAGTTGTCATGGTTTTATAGTGAATATGGAGATTCATTAATGGCAAAAATGGAATTTCCTATTGAATTGAATAAAAAAATTCCATTATACTATATTAAGCCATGTGCTAGATTTATTTAAAATTAGAGTATCAATGATGAAGGAGCATTTTCAGCTCATCTTCTTCTCCAAGCTGCCGTGGGTGTTCTTCAAAGGTGAGAGAAAACTTCAACTCAATTTTCAAGCAATTTACTTATGATTTTGAGTAAGTTGTAAATAAAAAATTGTTATATGTGAAAAACGCTATCATTTAGCACCAATATTGCATGATAATCTTGTTGGTGTGCAAAGATCCCAAATGTAAGAGTTTGTTTTCATATAAGGGATCACGAAATTGATAATAAATCTTGATGTTTGTGAGGTAGTAGATTCATATTCAAGCATGAAAGATGATTAGAACATGTTTCATCTTTCTACAACTTGTTCTTTAAATTTCGACCATGAATGGTTTGAGTGAGAAAAATTATGGAAAATTATATATGGGATGGAAATGATGAATGAAGTATTCTACAAGCTTTAGAAAAATTGGGGATCATTTTGTAATTTTTGAAAAGTTGGGGATCAATTTGTAAATTTTGGAAAATTGATGGGTTGTTGTGTAAGTGTTGTATAATTGATGTACTTTGCCATGAATTGATCAAATAAAATTGACTCTATGCCCAAGTATGTTATTGAGGTTCAGTGGTATTAATGGCATATCATAGAGTCTAGCAACTGTATATTAGGTAGCACTAAAGTGTCTAGAGAAGGCACATAGTGCAGGCCTTAGTGTCTAGTAAAGACACAGTACAAACACTACGGTGTACTAGGTGGGTAAATCCCGACCTCAGCACTACGGTGCATTATTAGGTGAGCAAAGCTCGACCTCAGCACTTCGGTGCAACATTTGACTCCTATACCGGGTTCCTCATACAATTATGCTATGGGCTATGGATTATGGTTTATTGGTTAATAAATGGTAACCATGCAAATAAGTTTATGAGCTTACGGAATAATGGCAAGTATATTGATAAAATAAGCTTACGAGCTTATGGGATTAAATGGTAAGTATATTGGTAAAATAAACTTACGAGCTTATGAGATTAATAAGTATTTTTCGGAAGTTACTGTAGTAGTTACTGTAGCAATTACTGTAGCAGTGAACATTACCAACGTTAACATTTTTCCAGAATGCTACAAGGTGCCGATTCTCCTGCTACAGGGTACCGATTCCCCTGCTACAGGAACCGATTCCATCACTGTTCACTGTTCACTATTCATAAAAAAATCTTTTGAATTAAATTTGTTATAATGAAACATAATTTATATGATATGATATTTTTATAATATCAGTTTTCATTTTAAGGAAATAAATTTTAAATCACTTTTGAATTTTAAAATGTTTTAGAAATTCGGAAGACATCTATAATCTGTATAGGTATAATTATACGGATTATGGGTGTTACAATATTTGATTCTTGATCTCTTATGATTAGCGAGCTGAAAGTGTGTCATGTATGTTGAGGTTAGTCCAAATGTCAATTTAACATATCCTTGCAGCTGGCCGAGCTGGCTGGGTCTAGTATTACCCAGGCAGTAAGTTATTGCAGCTGCATAAATCAAACTGGGGAGACTAGCCAGCTCTTGACTGCAATAGTTTCAGCAGTCCAAAGATAGATCGCCCCATAGATATACTATATACATGTCATTCTTCAGTATTTGTACACTCGCACATGCGTGTACGCACCCACTGATACACACACATGTGATTGCCCAATAGATATACTATATACGGATCATTGTTTAGTATTCACACTCTAGCTCATGCGCGCGTACCTGCACACACATACACAAGCAGTGTCGGCCCCATGCACAGCTTGATAGTATGACCAAGGCCTAACTGGGCTAATGAGCATACAAAATTAAGTCGAGATCAGTTAAAATTCATCTTGATAGTTTGTGCTTCCACCAGTATCAACCCCATGCTCTTGACAGGTCCAAGTTATCGTCATTCAATTTTGAGATCAATTGTTATATGATCCAACTATATTACTGTTGTAATAAAAGGTGATATTAAGAGGTGCCTCGATGATCGAATTATAGCATCGAGATCCTTCCATTATTACGAAGTTTGAACTCTTCTTGTAGGGTCATAGGTCGCTCGGAAGCAAGTTTTCTTACTTCACGTTACCCCATAATTGCAAGAATTCTAGAGCTGTTGAAGGCACCGCTAGGTTTACCATGAGCAAGAGGGATGCTTAGGAAGCACATCGTGTCATTATGAGTGAATTATGCCTAAACACTATTAACATCTTAAACAGTCTTATATAGCCAAAAAATTTATGTCGACAGGTTGAGATAAAATTTGAAGTAAATTATATTAGTGATTTTGCTTCATTTTTTTCTTATTTTGATTTCGATTTTTTTAAGAAAGTTATGTTATGATCATTTTTTATTTGTCTTATTTTGATCATTGGACTGTTAATTCTTGTTACTTTATTGACGTATCAAAAGTGATAAAATTTTAATTTACAATCTGCATTTTAGGCAAAATATTAATTTAACACTAAACTTTAGACAAAAATGGTAATTTGGCTCTCGAACTTATGATAAAATATCAATTAGATCTGTATATCTCATCAAAGACTTTGTCGTCGATCGTCATTCATCATCGTTATTGGTCACTGATGTTTGTCGTCATTGACCATCATTTGATACTAAAATTTCCAATTTACTGTTTTTGACCTCCTAGATGTGAAGCTAATGTTCGTTTTGCTAAAAATTATATTGATACTACATTGTATTAAACTTTTTAAGTTTACATTGATTTAAAATCATTATGTGAATGTAAATGATAACTGAGATTAAAAGTTAAATATGAGAAGATTTTTATTAGTAAGAAAGATGTGGATAATGTGAATGCTCAAAATTTTAATCTAATTTTATATGATTAAAATTTAAAAATATTTTTTTCTAATTAAAAAAGATAAATTTTCAATTTTCTTATCTTTAAAAATTTAAAAATGATTTTAGAATTTTTATATATAATTATTTTGAAAAAAAACTAAAATATCAAAAATAATATTTTAATTATAATTTAAGATTGAATTTTGATACTAATTGTCAAATTTATATATCACATTATCGTTTCGTTAATGCATTAATAATTCTTAACGGTTAAATGATTTATTTAGTAACTTTCTAGAATATGGATGATCATAGTATAATTGTTTATAATTAAATAATAGAAACGTAAATTGACCAACAGTTTAATTACTAAATTAATAGTTGATCCTTTTATTTACAAAACAATACGCGGTAATTAATTGAGTAATCGCTTACGTATGAAATAACTTTCATATAATATATTAGGTATAATATCAAAATAAGGGTCCAAACTATATCATTTTTTCATTAGGCTTAATATCAAAATGAGGGTCTAAACTATATTAAATTTTTCATGTATCTAAATTATATTTTAACTTTTTCTAATATCTAACATTATAAACGTCGTCATTTTAGGTATATGGATCGTCAATAACGTTAATTTTCTCTATTATATGAAACGTATCATAATCTGGTGATTAAAATAATTTACACAACACGAACTAAGTGGTCTCTATAATAAAGAAATTATTATCATTCCTTGAGATCCATATTTAAGCACCATAAATAATAGAGTTATAAGCATTTAATATAAAAAAAATTAAGAATTATCTATTAACAAATACTAATTTATATTTTTTTCATTAATAAAAAAACTAGTTTTCTTATGTCTTTTGTCATTTTTTAATAACAAGGCTAATTCAGTCATATTCTATCCACATATTTTAATCATTTAACGCCGTCACGACCGACCTTTTAATTACAAACCAATGGATCGTTTGAACTTTGACATCCGTCTCGATATTCTCCCCTCCATGTTCACGCGCCACGTGTAGCTTGTGAGATCTCCAAGATCTCTAAAGATGCTATCGAGACACCCAAGCTCTCGGCTTTTGATTCTGTCCAGCTCAGCCATCCTTTGGCCCCTGATTGTTGGCCATGTGGAAGCATCTCCATCCGACGTGGAATTTCTTACACGTCCACTTTATCCACGTCATCATAATAGAATCTTCTTGCAACTTGATTTAATACTGTATCTTTTACGCTCTCCCCGTCTCCTAAACAAAAGGTCGGCGATTTCTCTTCCGATTCACTCTGTTTCTTGTGCAGTCAAATTAGTTTTTCCTAAATAAATACAAAAAAATTAACCTGCAATTCGTTAATAATAGCTGAAAATTCTCGTTTTAATGTGAAATATTATGCTTTGAAATTAATTTCTGGCTTAATTTTTGCGCTAATTTTAAATTGAAATATGTTTCCGATCGAGCTCAAAAATGGAGGTTAGTTGGTGATTTTGCGAGGATTTCTTCGTTTCTAGCGTCTGTAAGTTCTTTAGTTTTTTTATTAAGTTTGTGTAATTTCTTT